TGCTATGAAATTATAATAGCCAAAGTTAGCTGCCAGGAAGAAAGATGAGAGTAGACCACCCTTCCCTTTTTGCAGAGATGGAGTACTCTGGGTATGGAATACTGATGTTTCCACATAATTTGCAGAACCATTTTCCCCCTTTATTCTTTGTCACAAGAGGCTCCCTGGAGGGGGGAGAGAGGAAGGTTCTATTGGGAAACACAAGTGTTTATTTATAAAACTAAAAAAAAAAATTGATAATAATTTAAAATCATAAAATTAAAAATACCAACAAGCAATGATTATTAGCACAGAAACAAATTCCTACTGAAAAGGGTGAGGATGGTATATATCACCAAATGATTCATAAGCCAAATTTTACTCACATGGTAACTAGCAGTAACAATAACAACTCAAATTCCAATAGTGCTGTAAGCACTTACAAAGCACTTTTCTCCAAACAAAACTCTGAGGTCAGTAGTATTATAATCCCCATTTTACAGATGAGGAAACTGTAGAGAGGCTGTAATCCTGTAATGACTAAAGTCACACAATAAATTGCAGGCAGGAGGCAAAAAACCTACGTGTACCGATTCCAAGCCCAACATTCTTTCCAATACATCACAGTACATCTTTGATGAGAAATGATAAAGGAGAAGAAAAACAACTATTCTTCTTTGCTCCTTGATTGGCAATCATCCGGTTTAAAGAGTGGGGTTCGACTTAGGTTTAGCAGAGAGGTGCAATCTATGAGGCGAGAGATATTTTCACTCCCTGGGCCTTAATTTTCTAATCTATAAAATAAGGATAATAATACTGTAGTACTTACCTCAGAGTTGTTTAGAGGAGACAAATGAAATAATATATTTAAAGCACTTTGCAAATTATGAAGTGCTATAGAAATAATAGCTAGTATATTACTGCATCTGTAAAACACAGGCAGTGCGGGGTAGCATAAGGCAGAGAGGACTCAAAGTTGGCAGAGACCTAGAATCAAATCCTGCTCCTCATGTATTAGCTGTGTTAACATGCCTCTCTGAGCTTCAGTTTCCTCATCCACAAAATGAAGATAATAATACATATAGTATTCACCTCAAAGTATTGTTCTGAGCATAAAATGTAGTGTTACAAAGTATAAAATGAAGGTGTTAGATAAGGGTTTTTATTTTAATCTCTAACAATCTATGACCCTGAAGGAAGACTGGGGGCAGATGTGGGGTGGAAGAGAATCACGTGATCACTGTCTTCAAGAAACTGAAGGGCTTTCCTATTGAAGAGAGAACAGACTTGCTTTGTTTGGCTTTGCAAGACATAACTAAGTCCTTAGAAGAGAAGCTGCAAAGAGGCAAATTATGGCTTAATCCAAAGAAAAACATCCTCACAATTACAGCCATCCCCAAGGGGAATGGGCTGCCTCAGAAAACAGTAGGTTACCCTTTACTGGAGGTCTGCAAGCAAAGGCTAAATGATCATTTGCAAGGTATAGGTTGTAAAAGGGTTTCTATTTCAGGTACAGATTACTAGAAGGTCACTGAGGTCCCTTTTAACTTTCAAATTCTATGATTCTAGCGAACCACTATCAACGGCCTTCCTTCCTTCTCTCTGCGTGTCTATGTCCACTCCTTAGGGTAGGTACCAGGATATTTCATTGTATCACCATGGCTAATCTAATGTCCTACACATGGCAGATCAATAAATGTTTTCAATGATAACGATGAACAGATTTTATCTTCTGTGCAGTCAGAAAAAATAAATGCTTTTCAGAGGGCTGCAAAGTAACATTTGCAAAAACTAAGGGGCAGCACAGTGGATAGAGCACTGGCCCTGGAGTCAGGAGGACCTGAGTCCAAATCCAGCCTCAGACACATGATACTTACTAGCTGTGTGACTCTGGGCAACTCACTTAGCCTCAACTGCCTCACCAAAAAAAAAAAAAAAAGTAATATTAAGGGCAGCTAAATGACACAGTGGATAGAGCTCCAGCCTTGGAGTCAAGAGGACCAGAGTTCAAAACCAGCCTCAGACACTTGACACTTACTAGCTGTGTGACCCTGGACAAGTCACTTAACCCAGACACCCTTACCAAAAAAAAAGGCAAAAACTGACTGACAGACCAACCAGCAAGTTTTCTATGCTTAATTAAACTGGAATCTTAACCCAACTCAACTAAAAAGGACTAAGACTTACGAAATAAAGGAAACTCTCAATTTCAGAACACATGGCAGACAAAGAAAGCTTAGACAAGAAACTATGTCCTTGAGATCCCAAGATCTTTTAACACTTCAATTAGTCCTAACTGCATGGGGTGGGGGGGAGGGGTTGGTTGACTCCCTCCACTAAGGCAAATCTTAACCCCGCTGTAAACATATATTCTCTCTCTCTGAAAAGTCTTTGTGAGTTGGCATACCTGAAAAGTTTCATGACTGAGTTGCCATCCCTCTGGAGTAATAAGCTTTTTCAAACATAGCTGGGCTCATCCTCATGTGACAGCTTATACAACCTAGTAATGATAGGCCTGTACTCAAAAGTCATCCCAGCTAAGCCCTGCTAAAGCTTGAACTTCTCTGGCAAGGCCTTGAGGAACCCAGTGGCACCCCCATGGCATGATAAGGCATCAAAGTAGCTCTGTAGTTCAGAGGCTCATAGAATCATAGCTACTGAGATGGAAAAAAAATGTGCCAGTTAATCCAACCCCTTCATTTTACAGATAAAGAAACTAAAGCTAGAGAGGTTAACTGACTTAACCCAGGGTAAAATAGTGTAACGGAGCTGGGGTTCAAATTCACATCCTCTGACACTAAATTCAGGGCTCTTTCCATTATACCATGTTGTTTTAAGTGTATGCACATGGATGTGCATGCACAAACATAAACATGCATACACACTGCCTAAAGATGAAATTTCAGAAAAGAATCCCATCTGCACTATCTAGAAAATAGCAAAAGAACAGCATTTCATCACTATTCCAGTAAATCCCTTTTAAAAACCTTTGACTCATTTTAGTTACTCTTCAGCAAAACTGGGGCTTTTGTTGTTTCTTTAAGCAAATCTATGTCTGAAAAGCACTCATAAATATTTTCATAAGCCAAAGTTTTCAGCAAAAATTTTTTTAATGATCCATGAAACAACACTCCAAATAAGATCAGATTTGGAGCTCCACATTTTTGGATACACAAAACTACATTTCTGTCCTCTTTTATGCAAAAATAAAGCCAAAAATTTACATAAATTTAACTTTGTGATTGAAAAATGTTAAATCACTAAGAGTCAGAGAAGGCAGAGCTACAGTTCTCAAAGCAACGGTGACATGGAAGCAAGAGATACTGGTATAAATAACTGCTAAATTCAAAGTACTACATATGCTCAGGGGGTAAGCTACCGTTGCTGAGAAACAAAGCAGAGGAGAGAAGATGTGTTGGTTCAACACAGCAGTGAAATATACATGATTACAGCAATCTGTTCTGCCATTTGAATCTCTTTTAGTCCCAGGCTTCTTATTCCCCAAGGTTAGCAAGGGTTTGGAAATCCCTGGAAATATTTTGCCCTGTGGCAAATGATAGTGGAAAACAATACAGTATTACTTAAAAGCAACTTTCTGGGACACTAGTGAACAACAATGATCAGAACCAAATGAAATTTGGTTTGCCTCAATTCTTTAACCACTCCCAAACTCCCCCTCAAAAAAGCTGTTCTTCAGAATTTTTTTTTTTGACTAGGCAATGGGGTTAAGTGACTTGCCCAGGGTCACACAACTAGTAAGTGTTATGTGTCTGAGGCCAGATTTGAACTAAGTTCAAATCCAGGGCCAGTGCTCTATCCACTATGCCACCGAGCTGCCCCCCCAGAACTTTTGCTATGGTGGTGATGGAGGCCTGGGCAATGAGCAGGAAGATAATTAAAAATAGCCATTTTGAATTCTATTTCAGGGTGGAGAGTCACGTGAATTTTCAAGATTCCATAATCATAATGTCTAAATTCCAAAATTCTACATTATCATCTACTAGCTACTTCCCTACATTTGTACTTTAGGCTAGGTAATACTTCTATCGACAAAGGAAACTAGCAAATTCAGTAGTTAGGACTGCTTACATTTAAACTCAGAATGTTAGCAATGGAAGAAACAATAAGAAATCATCTTGTCTAATTCTTTCATTTAATAGATGAGCAAAACTAGGCACATAAAGAAAAAGTGACTCATCCCATAACACACAGTGGCAGACCTGAGATAAGAATCTGACCTCTGCGCTAGAGGTCAGTGCTCATTCAGCCTTCTCCACTTACAGAAAGTATTTTAACATTATTATTTATAATTAGTGAATATAACTTTATAATACACAATCAATGAAAAAATGTGTTTAAATGGTACAGTTATGTTAGAATTCTTCAAATACAGAAAAGGGATGAAAGGATCACAGATCCAGAGCTGCATCAGGGAAGATTTTCACATAAATAGAATACCTTGACTCAAGCTTACAGGATCACAGATTGAGAGCTAGAAGAACCTTAGAGGCCAATGAATCTAACCCCCTCACTTTACAGACAAGGAAACTAAGATAGAGAGAAATTAAGTGACTTTCCCACGGTCACACAGCAAGTAAATGTCTGAGGCAGGATTTGAACCCAGGTTCTCTCAACTCCAAGTCTAATGCCCTATCCACTATACCAGGATTCCCATCAAAGGTGCTACTCAAAGTAACTAATGGAAATCGATCAAAACAGAAAAACTCTGGAACCTCACTATACCATTTGCTACAAAGCTTTATTCCATATAAAGCACATCCATTCCAGAGTCCCTTCACAAGTGCTCAGCTATTGAAGGAGCTAAAGGATCATACTGTAATGATGTTCTACTGAATACTACTAGTCAGAATCCAGTATAAACACAGCTCTAACTCATGAATTGGACTAACAGGTCTTCCCTTCTGAAGTATCAGTCTCCGTGTTCAGTGCAAACCATAATGTATCTAAACCTTCATTCAAAGAATGAAGACATTAGAAAAAGATCACGATTCCTTCCTCACCTGAGATCTTTCAGCTGTTTGCAGTGCTTTAGCATGTCAGAGAGGGCAGACATGTAGACCACTTTCCCCATCATGCCCAGATTGGCCAATGATAGCGTCTGCAGCTGTTGGCACTGCAACCCAATGCTAATGAGCCCAGAGCCTGTGAGAATGCTGGGCAGCTGGGCCAGTGTCAAATTGCGTAAAAATGCCAGCTGGCCAATGGCAGCCACCTCAGCATCCCCAACGCTCTGTGCACGGCTGCAGGGGGGTAGTGAGTTTCGAATGGCAGGCTCGTTCCGGGGCATGGCAGAAGAAAAATTGGACCCAATTAACTCCAGGGTTTCCAAAAATGGCACATTCTCCAGAAGAGTCCAGAAAACAGAGGATGACTTCTGAGTCACTGACTCAGAAGACACGGTCCTGGGGTATGTCTGCACTCCAATTCGGACTTTCTTTCCAAATCCTCGGGGCACTGCGTTAGTCACCATCTGTGTGGGAGCCTTATCGGCCTTTGGAGAAGAGTCTGCAATGGAGCAGACAGGAAGGGATAAAGAACGTAGGTGCTGAAGCTGAGCTAAGAGCTGACACAAATGCTTCCCCAAATCTTCAGAGCTGTGATGGTGTGCAGCAGATAGATTTAAGTGTTTCAGATTGCAGCAGGACATAACCAACGTTTCCAGGATGCTGCTATCAATATCATCCTCTGCTTTGCGAAACAATGAGTCTGGAGACAGACAATGAATACAACCACTGAGATTCAAGCTGGCTAAGCTTTTGAGGTCTTTTCCCCCATTAATTACTCTCTGAATCAGGTGTCCTCCAGACAAAGTACAGCGGCTGAAACTGAAGTAAAACGGGTTGTTGAACTTCATATTCTGAAGGAGTGAGGAGCCATTAAGCCAAGATTTGGGAAGCTGCAATGCATCCAAGGAGACGTTGCGAGCCATGGAGTCCAGGAGGTTTTTAGTGGCTCCACTCTCTGCAAAGCTGCCTGGAACCGAAATAAGAAAGGCATGAAGGTTTTCAGGGGTTCGATCACTGAGCACAGCCAAATACAGCCTTACGACCTCCTGATTGATGTAGCCGGGGGCCAATCTAGCATAAAACACTCGAAGATTCTGGTAATGGGGGACATTGCTCTGGCCCACCATTAGTTGACCTGAAAGAATCGCTCCTTCCCGGGTACGGTCTAGGATTTCAAAATAAAGCAGCAGTTTTTCAAGACTGGTACAACAAGGTACCACTCCATATGACGGCGTATATAGGGTCTGTTTCAGCTCTAACACCCGGCTGAGAGTTGCTTTACATTCACTGCTCAACTGGCTGGCATCAAAGCCCGGGTTGACATCGATGGCCAGAGAGCGCAAATGCTGGAGGGCTGATAGCATCTTAGAGAGTCGGATAGAAGTAAGATGGCAGCCCGACAAGTTCACTTTCACTAGGTTCCTGCAGCGTGTCACATGCTCAATTGTGGTACCAGACAGCCAGTAGCAGCCTGCCATGTTCAGCTGGTGAATCTCTTTCCCAATCTCTCTCACCAGTTGTTTCACTTTATCTTCACTGGCCTACATTAAAAAAAGGAGAGGGAAAAAAAAAGATTTAGATTTACAAAGAACCTAAGTCCAACAAATTATTTTATCCTTCCTCAAATCCTTATAAACCCCCTTTTAGAAAATTAGTATCACAGAGTTTTGAAACAGAAAGGACCTCCTTTTGCCAGGTAAGTTTCTGACAAGGAAGCCTTACTGTCTTCTTTCCCTCCCTATACTGATTTCACATTAACTCACAAATTATTGTATACTTCTAAATATAGGTACATATAGCCCATATCTGGCTTGCATAAAAATGTGTGTAACTTATGCTGGCATCATACCCATATTTGGAAGACAGCATATAGTCAGACCAATATAATAGTTGAAAATTTTAAAGACAGTCTATAGATTTTTCATGTCCTGCCTTGCACGAACCTAAAAAGTCATAAACAACTACAAATTTCTGAATTGAATGGAGATATCAAACATACATATGTATTTTTTTTTTTAAGGCATTTGGAGTTAAGTGACTTGCCCAGGGTCACACAGCTACTAAGTGTCAAGTGTTTGGTCTGAGGCCAGATTTGAACTCAGGTCATCCTGACTTCAGGGTCAGTGCTCTATCCACTGCGCCACCTAGCTGCCCCTACATATGTATTCTTAATAAAGATAAATTTTTAACATTATACTTTATTATATATTATATATATATTATATATATTATTATCATGGGGTTTACTACTCTCATACATGCCATTCCAATTTCCCTATAAGAGAAGTCCATCTACTTCCTTCATACCAGAGTATCAGCATTAATGATATGCAAGGTAATTTAACCATTTCCTAGAAAAATGAACCTTCCTATGAAGCAGTAACAATACAAGAGGATAACATGGGGCAACTACCATATAATTTTCCTATTACCCTGCTATAAAAAGAGCACGTGAAGAACGGGAAAACACTTGGGGTAATTCACATCACAAAAGCAAAGGACAACAAATGGACAGCATAATTACTCCACTGATATCCAAAATACATTAAAAGAACCAGAAAAAGCCCTCTAATGTGTGGCATAAATACTCAATAACAGGTAGATATAGATATACAATTCTGGGATAAGAATCATAGAGAATTGAGAGGTGTGATCTGCACCAGAGGAGCCTTGGATATTAAAATCTAAACTGGGCCCTATTTCTTTTTTCTTTTAAAGTACAGAAAACAACTAATATAGTCAATCAACACCTACTTAAGTGCCATTTCCTCAGTCTAAATCTGATTTGGGGTGAAGCTGAGGCATGACAGAATAAATGAAATTATTACCATTTATTTCTTACCTGATAATCCCTATGAAGCAGCACTGTATGAGTGAGACTTTTGTCAAGACAAAGAGTTGCCAACTTCCTGCAGGTTCTCCTAACATTCAAAATCAAGTCTGTGCTGGGGATATAACTCAGGATGTGCAAAAGGATCTCATCAGAAAACTCCATCAGGTTTATGCTATTCATTAGGTCAATGGTGTTTGGTTCATCTTTATTTGGCATCTCCTGAAAGGAAATGAGAATTTTTTAAAAAGTAAGAGAAAAATTCCTAATGGATATGAGAGAATTAAAAGGACCACACAAATACATTCTACCTGGCCACGCAAAATGAACAGGTAAACAAGTGAGAAGAAAAAAAAAACAATAAAACCAACCACATTGCAAAAAACACATGCTTTGGGGAAAAAAAATTAAAATCTTATTACAGAGCCCTTGACCTTTAAAAAAAGATAAAAATTATTAAACTTCCTTTATATCAAAATCTGCAATAGTGAGATTTTTCTTGAGAAAGAATAAATAGAAATTAGAGAAGTACATTCATGTCCAAAACTTAGTTTACTGCAACGTGGGTTTTTAATAGAAGTTGACAATAAAAGTGTTGTGCCTTCCAGGCACAACACTTTCACCAGATGGAACTATCTTCCCTCCAAAACTCTCACTGACTTTGCTTCTTTTCTCTGTTTTAATGATCATCACAGCATAGAAAAACAGTAGATAATCATTTGTACTATTTTTCTTAAAAACAGTTTTGTCTATCTTAAGCCCCTGCTTATGCTTGTCTCCTCTTTTAATTCTCATTTTCTGTACATACCAGGTCAAAGGTTTTCATTTTTCAACTGGTCTACACGATCCCATGGCAACAATCACTATAACGGTCCAAGAAAAAAAACCTGAGTTAAGAGTGCTTTACAAACATGCAATGGTAAGAACGGAAATTACTGTGCTCTGGGAACTGTTAAATCATTTGTACATTGTCAAATGCTTTGCATGATGGCAGAACAGAGCAGCCCTAGAAATGAGTTTCCATGAATATTCCCCACACACATTTCCATTAGTGCAAACAAGTAAAATCATTTTCCAAATAAGAAAACCAAAATGAAAGTTAAAGGATATGATGAAGATTGTGAAATAAGTCAATTTTAAACTGATTATTCTATACTGTCTCATTCTTAAATTCCAAAGATTACATCTGAAGGGTAGCATGCTATTTATTCCTCAAGTGCGATGCAACACATTAACCATAACCATCCACCAAAACATTTCTGTATCCTGATTGCTTTGCTAGCCTCCTTCTGTACCATTATTTTCCTCATTTTTCTGATCCATTCTGAAAGAAAGAACGAAAGAACAAAAGAAAGAAAGAAAGAAAGAAAGAAAGAAAGAAAGAAAGAAAGAAAGAAAGAAAGAAA